GTGTCCAGTTCTGTGAGAAGTTGACTGAGTTGTGTCCAGCTCTGTGAGGAGTTGACTGAGTTGTGTCCAGCTCTGTGAGAAGTTGACTGAGTTGTGTCCAGCTCTGTGAGAAGTTGACTGAGTTGTGTCCAGTTCTGTGAGGAGTTGACTAAGTTGTGTCCAGTTCTGTGAGAAGTTGACTAAGTTGTGTCCAGCTCTGTGAGAAGTTGACTGAGTTGTGTCCAGTTCTCTGAGAAGTTGACTGAGTTGTGTCCAGTTCTGTGAGAAGTTGACTGAGTTGTGTCCAGCTCTGTGAGAAGTTGACTGAGTTGTGTCCAGTTCTGTGAGAAGTTGACTGAGTTGTGTCCAGCTGTGTGAGAAGTTGACTGAGTTGTGTCCAGCTCTGTGAGAAGTCGACTGAGTTGTGTCCAGCTCTGTGAGAAGTTGACTGAGTTGTGTCCAGCTCTGTGAGAAGTTGACTGAGTTGTGTCCAGTTCTGTGAGAAGTTGACTGAGTTGTGTCCAGCTCTGTGAGAAGTTGACTGAGTTGTGTCCAGTTCTGTGAGAAGTTGACTGAGTTGTGTCCAGCTGTGTGAGAAGTTGACCGAGTTGTGTCCAGTTCTGTGAAAAGTTGACTGAGTTGTGTCCAGCTGTGTGAGAAGTTGACTGAGTTGTGTCCAGCTCTGTGAGAAGTTGACTGAGTTGTGTCCAGCTCTGTGAGAAGTTGACTGAGTTGTGTCCAGCTCTGTGAGAAGTTGACTGAGTTGTGTCCAGCTCTGTGAGAAGTTGACTGAGTTGTGTCCAGCTGTGTGAGAAGTTGACTGAGTTGTGTCCAACTCTGTGAGAAGTTGACTGAGTTGTGTCCAACTCTGTGAGAAGTTAACTGAGTTGTGTCCAACTCTGTGAGAAGTTGACTGAGTTGTGTCCAACTCTGTGAGAAGTTGACTGAGTTGTGTCCAACTCTGTGAGAAGTTGACTGAGTTGTGTCCAACTCTGTGAGAAGTTGACTGAGTTGTGTCCAACTCTGTGAGAAGTTGACTGAGTTGTGTCCAACTCTGTGAGAAGTTGACTGAGTTGTGTCCAACTCTGTGAGAAGTTGACTGAGTTGTGTCCAACTCTGTGAGAAGTTGACTGAGTTGTGTCCAACTCTGTGAGAAGTTTGTCTACTTCTGTGTGGCTGATTTTTATATTTATTTCGCTGTCGGAGTCTTGTACCACTGGCCTCAGGTATGTACCACTGGCCTCAGGTATGTACCACTGGCCTCAGGTATGTACCACTGGCCTCAGGTATGTTCCACTGGTCTCAGGTATGTACCACTGGCCTCAGGTATGTACCACTGGCCTCAGGTATGTACCACTGGCCTCAGGTATGTACCACTGGCCTCAGGTATGTACCACTGGCCTCAGGTATGTACCACTGGCCTCAGGTATGTACCACTGGCCTCAGGTATGTACCACTGGCCTCAGGTATGTACCACTGGCCTCAGGTATGTACCACTGGCCTCAGGTATGTACCACTGGCCTCAGGTATGTACCACTGGCCTCAGGTATGTTCCACTGGCCTCAGGTATGTACCACTGGCCTCAGGTATGTACCACTGGCCTCAGGTATGTACCACTGGCCTCAAATATGTACCACTGGCCTCAGGTATGTACCACTGGCCTCAGGTATGTACCACTGGCCTCAGGTATGTACCACTGGCCTCAGGTATGTACCACTGGCCTCAGGTATGTACCACTGGCCTCAGGTATGTACCACTGGCCTCAGGTATGTGCCACTGGCCTCAGGTATGTTCCACTGGCCTCAGGTATGTGCCACTGGCCTCAGGTATGTGTCACTGGCCTCAGGTATGTGCCACTGGCCTCAGGTATGTGCCACTGGCCTCAGGTATGTGCCACTGGCCTCAGGTATGTGCCACTGGCCTCAGGTATGTTCCCTGGCCTCAGGTATGTTCCACTGGCCTCAGGTATGTTCCACTGGCCTCAGGTATGTTCCCTGGCCTCAGGTATGTTCCCTGGCCTCAGGTATGTTCCACTGGCCTCAGGTATGTTCCCTGGCCTCAGGTATGTTCCACTGGCCTCAGGTATGTTCCCTGGCCTCAGGTATGTTCCACTGGCCTCAGGTATGTTCCACTGGCCTCAGGTATGTTCCCTGGCCTCAGGAATGTTCCACTGACCTCAGGTATGTTCCCTGGCCTCAGGTATGTTCCACTGGCCTCAGGTATGTTCCCTGCCCTCAGGTATGTTCCCTGGCCTCAGGTATGTTCCCTGGCCTCAGGTATGTTCCCTGGCCTCAGATATGTTCCCTGGCCTCAGGTATGTTCCACTGGCCTCAGGTATGTTCCCTGGCCTCTGGTATGTTCCCTGGCCTCAGGTATGTTCCCTGGCCTCAGGTATGTTCTCTGGCCTCAGGTATGTTCCCTGGCCTCATGTATGTTCCCTGGCCTCAGGTATGTTCCCTGGCCTCAGGTATGTTCCCTGGCCTCAGGTATGTTCCCTGGCCTCAGGTATGTTCCCTGGCCTCAGGTATGTTCCCTGGCCTCAGGTATGTTCCCTTTCCTCAGGTATGTTCCCTGGCCTCAGATATGTTCCCTGGCCTCAGGTATGTTCCCTGGACTCAGGTATGTTCCCTGGCCTCAGGTATGTTCCCTGGCCTTATGTATGTTCCCTGGCCCCAGTATGTTCCCTGGCCTCAGGTATGTTCCCTGGCCTCAGGTATGTTCCCTGGCCTAGGGTATGTTCCCTGGCCTCAGGTATGTTCCCTGGCCTCAGGTATGTTCCCTGGCCACAGGTATGTTCCACTGACCTCAGGTATGTTCCACTGGCCTCAGGTATGTTCCACTGGCTCAGGTATGTTCTGCCTGGCCTCAGGTATGTTCCCTGGCCTCAGGTATGTTCCCTGGCCCCAGGTGTGTTACACTGGCCTCAGTATGTTCCACTGACTTCAGGTATGTTTCCACTGGTCTCAGGTATGTATCCACTGGCTTCATGTATGTTCCACTGGTCTCAGATATGTTCCACTGACTTCAGGTATGTTCCACTGGTCCTCAGGTATGTACCACTGGCTTCATGTATGTTCCACTGGTCTCAGGTATGTTCCACTGGCCTCAGGTATGTTCCACTGGTCTCAGGTATGTTCCAGTGGCCTCAGGTATGTTCCACTGGCCTCAGGTATGTGCCACTGGCCTCAGGTATGTTCCACTGGTCTCAGTATGTTCCAGTGGCCTCAGGTATGTTCCACTGGCCTCAGGTATGTGCCACTGGCCTCAGGTATGTTGCCACTGGCCTCAGGTATGTTCCACTGGTCCTCAGGTATGTTGCCCCTGGCCTCAGGTATGTGCCACTGGCCTCAGGTATGTTCCACTGGCCTCAGGTATGTTCCATGGCCTCAGGTATATGTCCCCTGGCCTCAGGTATGTCCACTGGCCTCAGGTATGTTCCACTGGCCTCAGGTATGTGCCACTGGCCTCAGGTATGTGCCACTGGCCTCAGGTATGTGCCACTGGCCTCAGGTATGTGCCACTGGCCTCAGGTATGTGCCACTGGCCTCAGGTATGTGCCACTGGCCTCAGGTATGTGCCATTGGCCTCAGGTATGTGTCACTGGCCTCAGGTATGTTCCACTGGTCTCAGGTATGTTCCACTGGTCTCAGGTATGTGCCACTGGCCTCAGGTATGCGCCACTGGCCTCAGGTATGTGCCACTGGCCTCAGGTATGTACCACTAGCCTCAGGTATGTTCCACTGGCCTCAGGTATGTTCCACTGGCCTCAGGTATGTTCCACTGGCCTCAGGTATGTTCCACTGGCCTCAGGTATGTTCCACTGGCCTCAGGTATGTTCCCTGGCCTCAGGTATGTTCCACTGGCCTCAGGTATGTTCCACTGGCCTCAGGTATGTTCCCTGGCCTCAGGAATGTTCCACTGACCTCAGGTATGTTCCCGGCCTCAGTATGTTCCTGCCTCAGGTATGTTCCCTGGCCTCAGGTATGTTCCCTGGCCTCAGGTATGTTCCCTGGCCTCAGGTATGTTCCCTGGCCTCAGGTATGTTCCCTGGCCTCAGGTATGTTCCCTGGCCTCAGGTATGTTCCTGGCCATCATGTTCCTGGCCTCAGGTATGTTCCCTAGGCCTCTATGTATGTTCCCTGGCCTCAGTATGTTCCCTGGCCTCAGGTATGTTCCTGGCCTCAGGTATGTTCCCTGCCTAGGGTATGTTCCCTTTGGCCTCAGGTATGCCTGAGGTTTCCCTGGCCTCAGGTATGTTCCCTGGCCTCAGGTATGTTCCCTGGCCTCAGGTATGTTCCCTGGCTCGTATGTTTCCTGGCCTCAGGTATGTTCCCTGGCCTCAGGTATGTTCCCTGGCCTCAGGTATGTTCCCTGGCCTCAGGTATGTTCCCTGGCCTCAGATGTTCCCTGGCTCAGTATGTTCCCTGACTCAGGTATGTTCCCTGGCCTCAGGTATGTTCCCTGGCCTTCATGTATGTTCCCTGGCCCAGGTATGTTCCACTGGCCTCAGGTATGTTCCACTGGCCTCAGGTATGTTCCCTTGGCCTCAGGTATGTTCCCTGGCCTCAGGTATGTTCCCTGGCCTCAGGTATGTTCCTGGCCACAGTATGTTCCATGGCCTCAGGTATGTTCCACTGGCCTCAGGTATGTTCCACTGGCCTCAGGTATGTTCCACTGGCCTCAGGTATGTTCCCTGGCCTCAGGTATGTTCCACTGGCCTCAGGTATGTGTTCACTGGCCTCAGTATGTTCCACTGGCTTCAGGTATGTTCCACTGGTCTCAGGTATGTCCACTGGCCTCATGGTATGTGCCACTGGCTCAGTATGTTCCACTGGGCCTTCAGGTATGTTCCACTGGCTCAGGTATGTGCCACTGGCTCAGGTATGTTCCACTGGTCCTCAGTATGTGCCACTGGCCTCTGTATGTTCCACTGGCCTCAGGTATGTACCACTGGCCTCAGGTATGTCCACTGGCCTCAGGTATGTGCCACTGGCCTCAGGTATGTTCCACTGGCCTCAGGGATGTCCATGGCCTCAGGTATGTTCCACTGGCCTCAGGTATGTGCCACTGGCCTCAGGTATGTGTCACTGGCCTCAGGTATGTTCCACTGGTCTCAGGTATGTTCCACTGGCCTCAGGTATGTGCCACTGGCCTCAGGTATGTGCCACTGGCCTCAGGTATGTTCCACTGGCCTCAGGTATGTGTCACTGCCTCAGGTATGTCCACTGGCCCAGGTATGCCACTGCTCAGGTATGTGCCACTGGCCTCAGGTATGTGCCACTGGCCTCAGGTATGTGCCACTGGCCTCAGGTATGTACCACTGGCCTCAGGTATGTGCCACTGGCCTCAGGTATGTGCCACTAGCCTCAGGTATGTGCCACTGGCCTCAGGTATGTACCACTGGCCTCAGGTATGTGCCACTGGCCTCAGTATGTCCACTGGCCTCAGGTAGTGCCACTGGCCTCAGGTATGTGCCACTGGCCTCAGGTATGTGCCACTGGCCTCAGGTATGTGCCATTGGCCTCAGGTATGTGTCACTGGCCTCAGGTATGTTCCACTGGCCTCAGGTATGTTCCACTGGCCTCAGGTATGTTCCACTGGCCTCAGGTATGTTCCACTGGCCTCAGGTATGTTCCACTGGCCTCAGGTATGTTCCACTGGCCTCAGGTATGTTCCACTGGCCTCAGGTATGTGCCACTGGCCTCAGGTATGTGCCACTGGCCTCAGTAGTACATGGCTAGGTTTCCACTGGCCTCAGGTATGTTACCACTGGCCTCAGGTATGTTTCCACTGGCCTCAGGTATGTGCACTCAACTGGCCTCAGGTATGTGCCACTGGCCTCAGGTATGTGCCACTGGCCTCAGGTATGTGCCACTGGCCTCAGGTATGTGCCACTGGCCTCAGGTATGTGCCACTGGCCTCAGGTATGTCCTGCCCTAGGTATTCCACTGCCTCAGGTATGTTCCACTGGCCTCAGGTATGTGCCACTGGCCTCAGGTATGTCAGGCTGGTACACTGGCCTCAGGTATGTGCCACTGCCTCAGGTATGTGCCACTGGCCTCAGGTATGTGCCACTGGCCTCAGGTATGTCCATGCTATTCCACTGGCCTCAGGTATGTTCCACTGGCCTCAGGTATGTTCCACTGGCCTCAGTATGTGCCACTTGGCCTCAGGTATGTTCCACTGGCCTCAGGTATGTTCCACTGGCCTCAGGTATGTTCCACTGGCCTCAGGTATGTTCCACTGGCCTCAGGTATGTCCACTGGCCTCAGGTATGTCCACTGGCCTCAGTATGTACCACTGCCTCAGGTATGTGCCACTGGCCTCAGGTATGTTCCACTGGCCTCAGGTATGTGCCATGGCCTCAGGTATGTGTCACTGGCCTCAGGTATGTTCCACTGGCCTCAGGTATGTTCCACTGGCCTCAGGTATGTGCCACTGGCCTCAGGTATGTTGCCAATTGCCCTCAGGTATGTTCCACTGGCCTCAGGTATGTTCCACTGGCCTCAGGTATGTCCACTGGCCTCAGGTATGTATCCAATGGCCTCAGGTATGTGTTCCACTGGCCTCAGGTATGTCCACTGGCCTCAGGTATGTTTCCACTGGCCTCAGGTATGTCCACTGGCCTCAGGTTGTGTCCACTGCCTCAGGTATGTACCACTGGCCTCAGGTATGTTCCACTGGCCTCAGTATGTTCCACTGGCCTCAGGTATGTTCCACTGGCCTCAGGTATGTTCCCACTGGTCCCCAGCGTATGTTCCACTGGCCTCAGGTATGTGCCACTAGCCTCAGGTATGTTCCACTGGCCTCAGGTATGTTCCACTGGCCTCAGGTATGTTCCACTGGCCTCAGGTATGTTCCACTGGCCTCAGGTATGTTCCACTGGCCTCAGGTATGTTCCACTGGCCTCAGGTATGTTCCACTGGCCTCAGGTATGTTCCACTGGCCTCAGGTATGTTCCACTGGCCTCAGGTATGTTCCACTGGCCTCAGTATGTTCCACTGGCCTCAGGTATGTTCCACTGGCCTCAGGTATGTTCCACTAGCCTCAGGTATGTTCCACTGGCCTCAGGTATGTTCCACTGGCCTCAGGTATGTTCCACTGGCCTCAGGTATGTTCCATTTGCCTCAGGTATGTTCCACTGGCCTCAGGTATGTTCCACTGGCCTCAGGTATGTTCCACTGGCCTCAGGTATGTTCCACTGGCCTCAGGTATGTTCCACTTTGGGCCCCAGGTATGTTCCACTGGCCTCAGGTATGTTCCACTGGCCTCAGGTATGTTCCACTGGCCTCAGGTATGTCCACTGGCCTCAGGTATGTCCACTGGCCTCAGGTATGTTCCACTGGCCTCAGGTATGTTCCACTGGCCTCAGGTATGTTCCACTGGCCTCAGGTATGTTCCACTGGCCTCAGGATGTCCACTGGCCTCAGGTATGTCCACTGGCCTCAGGTATGTGCCACTGCCTCAGGTATGTCCACTGCCTCAGGTATGTCCCTAGCCTCAGGTATGTTCCACTGGCCTCAGGTATGTCCACTGGCCTCAGGTATGTTCCACTGGCCTCAGGTATGTTCCACTGGCCTCAGGTATGTTCCACTGGCCTCAGTATGTTCCACTGGCCTCAGGTATGTTCCACTGGCCTCAGTATGTTCCACTGGCCTCAGGTATGTTCCACTGGCCTCAGGTATGTTCCACTGGCCTCAGGTATGTGCCACTGGCCTCAGGTATGTGCCACTGGCCTCAGGTATGTACCACTGGCCTCAGGTATGTTTCCACTGGCCTCAGGTATGTCCACTGGCCTCAGGTATGTTCCACTGGCCTCAGGTATGTGCCACTGGCCTCAGGTATGTGCCACTGGCCTCAGGTATGTCCACTGGCCTCAGGTATGTCCACTGGCCTCAGGTATGTGCCACTTGGCCTCAGGTATGTTCCACTGGCCTCAGGTATGTTCCACTGGCCTCAGGTATGTTCCATCTGGTATTTCCCCTGGTATATGTTCCACTGGCCTCAGGTATGTGCCACTGGCCTCAGGTATGTGCCACTGGCCTCAGGTATGTTCCACTGGCCTCAGGTATGTTCCACTGGCCTCAGGTATGTTCCACTGGCCTCAGGTATGTTCCACTGGCCTCAGGTTGTCCCCTGGCCTAGGTATGTACCACTGGCCTCAGGTATGTTCCACTGCCTCAGGTATGTTCCACTGGCCTCAGGTATGTTCCACTGGCCTCAGGTATGTCCACTGGCCTCAGGTATGTTCCACTGGCCTCAGGTATGTTCCACTGGCCTCAGGTATGTTCCACTGGCCCAGGTAGTGTTCCACTAGCCTCAGGTATGTTCCACTGGCCTCAGTATGTTCCACTGGCCTCAGGTATGTTCCACTTGGCCTCAGGTATGTTCCACTGGCCTCAGGTATGTTCCACTGGCCTCAGGTATTGTTCCACTGCCTCAGGTATGTCCACTGGCCTCAGGTATGTCCACTGCCTCAGTATGTCCACTGGCCTCAGGTATGTTCCACTGGCCTCAGGTATGTCCACTGCCTCACGTATGTTCCACTGCCTCAGGTATGTTCCACTGGCCTCAGGGTGTTCCACTAGCCTCAGTATGTTCCACTGGCCTCAGGTATGTCCACTAGCCTCAGGTAGTTCCACTGGCCACAGGTATGTTCCATCTAGCCTCAGTATGTTCCACTGGCCTCAGTATGTTCCACTAGCCTCAGGTATGTTCCACAGCCACAGGTATGTCCACTAGCCATCAGGTATGTTCCACTGGCCCACGTAATTCCCTCTCATTGACCACTGTCGGATCATGCACTCAGTACCCACAGCACACAGATCACACGACACTAACAGCACGCACACACACAACACACCACGCACTACATACACACTCACACAGACACACGTCACCACGCACACAACACACACCCACAGCATGTTCCACCTGGCCTACAGGTTTTCACAGCACACAAATAGTACACACACCACATGCACACAGTACACACTGATTCCACTCACTGGACTTCATCATACACACACCACACCACACACACACCAACACACACACCACAAACATACATACACACGCCCCACACAGACACACAGACACGCACCACACACACACACACACACAACACACACCACACACACCACACACACAAACATACACACACACGCACACACAGACACACAGACACCCCGCACACAACCAACCACACAAAAACACAACACACCCACACACACACCAAACATACACACCACGCACACACGCACACAACACGCACGACAACACACCCCAACCACACAAACAACACACACACCACACACACACAAACAAAAACAACACACGAAAGCGACACACAGACAACACAGACACACACAGACACATAGACACGCACGCACACCACACACACACAAAAAACACACACCACACACACACCCCTCACACCCACACAACCACGCACCACGCAATCGCACGTGGTCTAATGGGTTTTGAATGAAAAAAAGAAAAACAAAAAAAGGGGAATATATAAATTATAAATATATATATATTATTTTATATATATAACGGTAAGGAGCAGGGGATGTTATGGTGTGGAGGGTGAGTGGGCCAGTTCCTTAGAAGGCCCCCCACCTCTCTTCCTCTCTTTTCTCCCTCTCTCTCTCTCTCTTTTCCCTTCCCCCCTTCTCTTCTCTCTTTCTTCTTCTCTCTCTCCCTTCTCTCCTCTCTCTTCTCTCTCCTCTCTCTCTTCTCTCCCCCTTTCTCTCTCTCTCTCTCTCTCTCTCCTCTTCCTTCTCTCTCTCTCTCTCTCTCTCCCCTTCCCCTTTTTTCTCTCTCTTTCCCTCCCCCTTTCTCCTCTCTTCTTTTTCCCCTCTCCCCTCTCTCTATTACACAAGTGTAATTTTTTAGTGAAAATAAATTTTTTAAACCCGGGGGATGGGTAATGTGATAATTCATGGGGACGTTAGGGGAGAGAAGGATGGAGGGAGAAGGAGAGGACAAGGGGGGGAAAGGGGCGGGAATGGGGGGGGGGGAGGTGGGGGAGG